GAAACAATGGAAACAGTGGCTGACTTTATTTTGGGGGGCTCCAAAATCACTGCAGATGGTGATTGCAGCCATGAAATTAAAAGACGCTTGCTCCTTGGAGAAGGAAATGGCAACCCACTCCAGTATTCTTGCCTGGAGAATCCCATGGACGGAGGAGCCTGGTGGGCTACAGTCCACGGAGTCTCAAAGAGTCGGACATGACTGAGCAACTTAACTAACTAACTGCTCCTTAGAAGAAAAGCTATAACAAACCTAGACAGCTTATTAAAAAGCAGAGACATTACTTTGCCAACAAAAGTCTGTCTAGTCAAAGACATGGTTTTTCCAGTAGGCATGTATGGATCTGAGAGTTGTACCATAAAGAAGGTTGAGCACTGAAGAACTGATGCTTTTGAACTGCGGAGTTGGAGAAGACTCTTGAGAGTCCCTTGGATACCAAGGAGATCAAGCTAATCAACCCTAAAGGAAATCCATCCTGAATACTCATTGGAAGGACAGATGGTGAAACTGAAGCTCCAGTACTTTGGCTACCTGATGTGAAGAGCCGACTCATTCGAAAAGACTCTGATGTTGGGAAAGATGGAAGGCAAAAGGAAAAGGGGGCAACAGAGGATGAGATAGTTGAATGGCATCACCAACTCAATGGACATGAGTTTGAGCAAGCTCCAGGAGATGGTGAAGGGCAGGGAAGCCTGGCATGCTGCAGTCCATGGGGTCACAAAGAGTCAGACACGACTGAGCGACTGAACAATGAACAAATCACTTCACAACCTTAGCTCATTCAATCATCTCAACAGTCCTATGAGCTGAGTGAGTGAGTGAAAGTTGCTCAGTTGTGTCTGACTGCGACCCCATGGACCATACAGTCCATGGGATTCTCCAGGCCAGGATACTGGAGTGGGTAGTCTTTCTCTTCTCCAGGGGATCTTCCCAACCCAGGGATCAAACCCAGGTATCCCACATTGCAGGTGGATTTTTTACCAGCTGAGCCACAAGGAAAGCCCTCCTATGAGGTAGGTACTATTTAGTAGTCCCATTTTAAAGATGAGAAAAATAAGACACAAAGAGGTTAAGGCTATGCAACCAGTAAGTGGCAGTGCTGGGATCCACATGCAAACAGTCTGGCTCCTGAGGCCCTGACTGTAATTTTTTTGTTTCTAGGACAGGTAACTCAGATTGAGGTGAGGCTAGGGGAAAGTAGGGGCTGTGTGAAAAAGAAATCTAAATATCCATGTGTCAGTTTCACTGAGAGGCTTCCTTTCATCTTTCACGTATGTATGAGCAACAAACTGGATGATTCTGAGAAATACATTTCTTGTGATCTTCTCAGAGGCATATATCCATAAGTATACTTCTTCCCTCTCATCATGTGTTTCTGCTGTGGATTCACAGGAGAAAGCCAGGAGGGTATGTTGGTAACATCGCTATCTGTTCTGGTAATGCACGTGATGAATCAGAACATTGTTCTTTTTCACAAATGAAGCAGTAAGCAGCAGGAGTTGAGTTATGAGGGACAATATTCAGGGAATGTTTAGACACATGATTAAATGTCAATTTGGGGAGGAGTGCTAGAAAAAGGAGATCATAGACATCTAAAGAGATATGTGTGCAGATGTTGTGATGTTGCTCATGAGCAAGTGCCTGAGATGGAAGTTTACCTCTGGCTTCTGCTGTTTGGATTCTCACTTTCTCGATTTATGTTCCAGTTACTGCCTTGGTACTAGATAATCTCCTGTTTTTTTCATAAATTACAATTGTGGTGGAAGGCTAAGAAATCAAAAGTAATACGTTATCAGAAGGTCTAGATACAATTGGGTCTATGGAACCTGATCCAATTTGAGGCCTCACTGTGGAACTTGCTTATCCCAGACAATGAAAAGAAAGCCTGGAATAAGTGGACAGGCATTCTGTTTTATGATTTGAGAAGTCACAACAGTAGGTCAATTAAATAGGTGTTGCCTCAACACTTAAACCAGGTTGACTCACATCACTGCCTAAAATAATATTGTCCAAAATAATAATAATGAAGTGCTTTGTACAGTTCTGGACCCTCAATAAATTATGCTACTGCTGATCATTACAATGGCGTTACTAGATTCCTGACACCCGTTCTTTCCGGGCTGGAATTCAGAAGTGCCGCTTTGCTAGCAGGCTGTTGTATTCACACACACCTTAGCCATGCTCTGTCAAACATTTCAGTTTGCATTTCAAAGGAGATTAGAGACAGATTTTTTAAAAATTTCACACTTTGATTTCTCAGCTGAGTTTCCAAGAACTGACTCACTAGTGCTGCTGTAGAGAGAGTAATGCAACTCAAATCTAGGTGTGCTCCCCCTCCTACCCCATGGCCACCATGGGCCCCCTTGACTGTGTAGAGGTGAAGTTCTTGAGACCTGTCATTCCTTGCAACCAGGGCTGGTTTGCTGGGTGTGTGGCCTGCACTGTCACCCAACGTGCATGCTCAGAAGAGCCCCTCATGTGGTTCAGGGCTCTGCTCTGTCATTCCTTGCAACCAGGGCTGGTTTGCTGGGTGTGTGGCCTGCACTGTCACCCAACGTGCATGCTCAGAAGAGCCCCTCATGTGGTTCAGGGCTCTGCTCTGTCATTCCTTGCAACCAGGGCTGGTTTGCTGGGTGTGTGGCCTGCACTGTCACCCAAAGTGCACGCTCAGAAGAGCCCCTCATGTGGTTCAGAGCTCTGCTCCCATCATTTTGACATTCTCAGTAACTTATGGAAAAGTAGCCTTTCAAATTATGTAGCCGGTCTCACCTGGAATATCCTGCCTGTCTGATCTGTATGAACAATTTTGTAAATTTGGATTTTTAAGAAAAAATTTGGATCAAGTATTTTATAGTTCTGAAAAAAATCTACTATAAACGGTTTCATCGTCTTTTTGTGAGAACAGTCTTCTGAAATCTGTCTGATTAGGGTCAGAAGTAAAATGAAACTTCTGAGGAGTTACCAAAATCTGCTTGGTAACTGGATGTGGAGACTGCATGGCCTGTTACAGAGAATACAGCACCGTAATGAGCATATCCTGCTGCTTCCATCAGGCCCTCTGGCCAGCTTGGGGAGTTTGCCCAAATGGGGCCCAACATCACTGGCAGGTAGAAAGATGAGGCTCAGTATGCTCACCCCATCAGAAAGGTCATGAGCCCTGGGAAACCACGATGGCCTTCTCCAGGGACCGCTTGCTCTCTCTCCTCCTTGCCTTGGCAAGCGGTGAGATGGCATGAAGCCCAGTCGACCTTAATTCAGATGAATGTTGTTTCATGTTTATTTTTAAATGCAAAATTCTGATTTTTTACTAAGATATGCTTGTAGTTGGACCACATTCAGGAATATAGAATAACTTAAATTAGTCTTAAAAAGCTTTATGATTTTTCTTTTCTCAAATAGAGGTCCTTCTGAGATTAGCTTTAATGAATAGATGAGAATAATGCATAATTAGCACATCAGTTGTTTAACACATGCAGGAGAATAGCCTTCTTAAGCACTTGAAGAAATGTATGTATATAAAAACTCTCTGGGCTGTGTTTACGGTTTTAATGAGTTCAATAAAACTCTTTTTTGTGTATGTGTGTGGATTCTCCAAAGGTCAGTTTTTATCTAGCTATGTCTGTATTTTTACAAATGGTGAAGTTGAAAATTCCAAAAAGAAGACTTTTCTATATAACAAATAAAGCCGCTCAGTCGGAACAGTTTATAATCCCCATTCTAGTCTGCTTTGCCTTTTGTAGTTCAAGATGGTTTCTTTAAGATGGTACCTTTTCTTTTTTTTAAATTTAGATATGCTGGGTCTTAATTGTGATATGTGGGATCTTTAGTGGGTCTTAATTGTGATATGTGGGATCTTTAGTTGCTGCATGAGAACTCTGAGTTGTGACATGAGAGAGCTAGTTCCCTGACCAGGAATCGAACCTAGGACCCCCAGCATTGGGAGGGCAGAGTTGAAGCCACAGGACCACGAGGGAAGTCCCAAGATGGGACCTACTTTTTGTCCTTTGATTCTGGTCTCACAAGTGAAAACACAAATGCCTCGATTGTTTGATGTACATCAAGTTATAAAAGAAACCGAAGATGCTCTGGATCCCTCGGCCAGCCCACCCTCCTCTCTCTGCCACCAGTCCACTCCTACCCTGTGGCAGAGTCCTGGCCAGGCCTTGCCTCACACCCACTCCTCTCCCAGGACTCTGTCTCCATGACTGACCGTGACCTAGGAGTCATCCTTGACACTCTGACACTCTGTCCCCTTCTGCCTTTTGCTCACATTCAGTCTGTTCCCGAGTCCTACAGATTTTGCTGACAAACACCACTCAGACGCATCCACCTCCCTCCAGCTCTGCGGGCTCTATCCTACTGCACAGGGCAGGACAGCCCCTTCCTCAGACTTCCTGGGGCCATCCTGCCTCCTGAGCCACCCTCCACGCACCTGCCTGGGCAATCCCCCAAAACATAAACCTGATCACGTCACTTGCCAACTTAAAACCCTTCAGTGCCTCTTCAGTGCTGTTAAGAAAAAGACCAAAAACATGGAGATGGGTTTTGAGGTCCTATGGGTCCAGCTCTGCCTTCCCCTCACTTTCGCTCCCTCAGGTCCCGTCGCCCAGGCTTTCCCATCTCCTGTGAGCCCAGCAGGCACCCTTCTCCCTAGCAGGTCTTTCCCTTTGCTGTCCTTCTTTATGGGGTACTCTTCCCCACAAAAGCTCCCCTCTCCATTGTTCGGATCTTGACATAAAATACATATTCTTTCTTTGGGGAAATCTTTCTCTAGTTCCGAGACTGGGTCAAGCGCTCACCTATATTTACTCACAAGCTTCCTTGCACTTTCAAGAATTTATAATCAGGTGTTTATCTGTGTACTAGTTAGATTAACAACAGCATCTCCTACCAGATGGCGAGTTTGCATGGTTCTGCTCTCCAGTGTAGCTCAAGCTCCAGCCCATGCCCCTTATGCACTGGAGGCACCCCATCCCCACACCCCTATGTCCCCCACTTACTGCGCTCATGAGCGAATCCAGGACGCTGACGGCGAATGCTGTCCCACATGCAAACGGCTGCGTGAGGTACAGTTCTGTGTCGGGGTCATCATCATCGTCTTGGTCCAAAAACTGAACGTTGGTATCGTTCACTAGGAAGAGCATGAAGTAGGAATTAGCTTGAAAAACTACATGCGGGCAGTAAAGTCAGAGAGAGAACAGGCTACAGGTTTAGAAACACTGAGGTCGCTGAAAAGGGGAGAAAAGCATGGGAAAAGCTGTCGATGGAGCTCGGGGTAGGGCTCGGCGGGGCTCAGTGGACAGCTCTGAGGTGCTTGTTCAAGGTTCCCAGACCTGGAGAGCAGAGACAGCAAGTGGACATGCTCCATGGCAAGCTGGTGGAGCCAGGGTGCACTGGCGTTGGTCAATTCTTTGGTATAGCTTTAGGATCATGACGAAAAACACTCTGAAGTGTTTTTTGGTAGCCAAATCCTTTGAGACATGGACATCTTTCAAGGATGAGGAGCCATGAGGAGCCATGCTGGGATGGAAAGTTTAGCCACAAGGAAAAGTAAGCCATCTAGGTTAGGAGCATAGCAAAGGCAACGAGCAAGGAATCCACCCTCAGGCACCACTATGCCTCAGGCGTGGATCTGGGCAGGGCCTGGTGTCCAGCCCTGAATCCAGGTCCACGTCCAACAGATGCTGTTCAGTATAAAGGCGACTCCAGGTGGGAGGTACCCTGGCTGTCTCTCGGGCTGTGGCTGAGATTTGCTCTGCATCCCAAGGCGCATAGGGACGCCCACGTTCTCCCTTTCCCCTTCTAAACAGCTCAGTGTTTTATGTGCTTCAGCTCAAGCAGACACAGCATTTGATGTTGTATTTCATTTCCATCTGAGGATTCCTCAAGGACTCCTCTGGCATGCACGTGCAGACTGATTGGTTGTGTCACCGAGATGTCTTTAACTTATTAAAAATTAAATGACAAATTAATTTCCATTCCCATCTTGGCTTCAGAAATTATCAGTTTTGCAGAGCAAGTAATGGGGAGGGGGACGGTGTGAGGTGGGGGAGGAGATGAGCACTCGTGATTTCTGGAATAATTATCATGCTTTTAGGAAAAGAATAGATGAGGTTTCCTTTTTCTGAATCCTTTCTAAAGCTAATTCTCTTTTCTAGAGTTATTGTTTTAATTTTTTTTTCCAAAAGGAACTTCTGAGAGAACTTTTCTTTTTTTTTAAATTTTTGTTTGTTTATCATATGAAGCAGAATAAATGATAATAGGATAAAAGGCTGGGCATGGGATTATTTTTAAATGACACCATCCTGTTTCCCTGGAGAAAGATCCTAATGGGGAAAAATTTTTGCTCTCTGTTCTTCCAAAGTTTATCATGTCTGGCTCCCCATTGTCTTAGCAGCACTTAAGTTACAGGCTTGTGAAAATGCAAAATCCAAGATCTAACAAGTGAACTCTAAATTCAGCCTTTGTCACTAATTCTCTTGAGCAAAGCATTTTATCATTCTGCACCTTAGTTTCTTAGTTTCTGGGGGGACTATTAGCAACTTTCCTGATAGGCTGTTAGGAGGTTCCTATGAGACTCTCCTTGGTGAGCCCAGTTCAGCATTTTGATAAATAGTGGCCTTTCTTGTGATCTCATGAAATTATGAAAATTCCCAGCCTCCTTCCGCCCCTCTCAGAAGACACAAGGAAGGCCTTGCTCAAGGATCCTACCAGAGTCACATGGAAGCATTTCCTTTCCTCCCGCCATTTAGCCAGAAGTATGTTGTGGGTCACAGTTTAGAAGACTAAACTGCTTTGTGAATGGGAAAATATGAACTTGGAACAAGATGCAGAGGGATGCAGTTTTAATTATTAGAGCTGAGGAGGGCATGTGCATGGACCCTCCCTAAAGGACCTGTTGGTTACCTCTTTTCAAGATGATGGGGAGGGTTTGGTTCTAGACCTGACAGACGACTGGAGATTGTCAGCTAGTTAGGGATTCAAATCTTTGGGAAAAAACTCCAGGGCCCAAGCCCAGGTTCAGTATCCCAGGCACCATTCTGGGTTACTTAGCCAGTGTTACCTGAAACCTATTTCACAGAACAATAATTATGTGGGTGCTAAGAGATGAAAACAATCACCCCCAAGAGTTGGTAATCAAATACAACTGAGAAATGGATTAAAGAGCTTCGAACAGATTTCCTTCATGTGGACCTTCTAGAACCCTTTGACCTGCTAACATCAATTGGGACTCTTCAAGTACACAAAGACTGGGATACACTACCCAGTTTAACAAGTTTGTTTGACATTGGCACCTTTTGTGTTTTGGAACCTGGCCTGGTGCAATGCAAAGACATCTCAGAATAAGTAGGTAGACAGTAAATATTTGTGGGGATAAGGAAGGTGAGGTGGTCAGAGGATGATGGTCTAACTGCCAAAAGTGGTAAGCCCAATAGAAAAACTGGTCTTAAGGCAGAGGGTGAAGGTGATGTGAACACATGGAAGGTTCTCTGAGTTCATAAAAGAAATCTGGTAAGGGACAAAGTCTTTAGGGTACTCAATTATGCTAAATGAGTACTTGAATTGTTGGACAGATTGGGGGTATCAAACCTTTTCTTTTCTACTAGTCGCAAATCAAGATATTCCAGTTATTTGGCAGCGCATGAATTTCAAACAGACAAATTCCTGGCAATGATGATTTTGAAACACTGCTGAATTTTTCTGAGACAGAGATGTCTGCATGAATTTTCCACCCAGAGGTCTGGGCCACACAAGCTCCCTGGGTCTCTTACCTAAGGTTCTGAGAAGAGCAACCCACCCCTAGGCTTTTAACCAACTTCTCTAAATGTGAAAAAGACACCTGTCCTACTGTTAGAAACATAAAATAGTGTGCTGCTCCCTGACCTGAGTGAATTTGTCCTGAAAAATAGCTCCATCGACAATAATACAGTGCTGAATGGTGGACAATTTATTCCTTTGTTTCCAGACACTTGGCAAGCAAGATTACTGTGTTAAAAGCCTGCTCTCTTATTTTGAAATATATTTTGGGGCCAAGAAAATGGCATGTGAGTTTCATTTGTGAGCCATTTGAAGGCAGGTGCTCCCTACCTCTCAATTCACCCTCCACTGAACAGTACTTGCTGTCTTTATCTAGAAGATCAATCCTTAGTTCTGAGACCTGCTGCTGATGGGTGCTTTTCATTGAGTTATTAACCAAGTCATAGGGAATTGTGGAAAAGTTTGACAAATGCCGTCATGACCAGAGCCCTTCATCTTCTAGATGAGTCCTCTCTGAATCTCCCAGAGAGGACTGTAGGCCAGTGGGGTGGGGGTCAGAGTGCAGGGCTGGGCCTTGGTGACTGCTAACCTCGTCCTCTGCATCCTTTCTTAAGACCTGGCTTTAGTAAGAAAGGGTCCCCCAGGAGCTCGCTGCTTTTATGGCTTCAGAAACCAGAGCTTCTGAGAAAGGGCCAAGTAGGGGGAAAAAAAAAAAGGCAAATAAAGTCAGAATAAAGGAAAATAAACAGCTGGAGGGAAGGCACCATCTTAGATTTCTTATCTTAAAATTTTTATATTTCTCCTTTGACTTCCTCTGAGAGTTGCGAAGACATGTCAGTCAAACTGACAGCGTGTTGGAAGAGGAATAGAAGGGAGAAGGTGGGAGGAGGAGCAGGGGGACACATAGGGGGAAAAAAAAAAAGCCCAAGCTAAAGGAAATGAATTAGAGCAAAGATGCTTTGGAAACAACTGCCAGGTCAGATGGGTGTGATCAAAGGTTTACTGATGCTGTGTGGGGAGAAAAATCATTAAGAAAGGCCAGAACAAGACAGTCGATTCCAACCAGAGCCACAAATAAAACACATTCAAAGCAGTGCCATGGGGTAGCCGTTCTTCTACAGCCGGTGAAATAAAAAACAAGCTGGTGATAGTCGGAAACACCAACCACAAACAAAAGGAGATACTGATGTGAAAGAAAACAGTGCTTCTTACCCAGTTCGGTTATCATTAGAATGTGCGTCCCACTGTTTTTTTCCTGATTGACTGATACCAAAGGCAACTTGCCAGGTTTAGCTAATTGGATACAGCATTTAGGGTTGGGGGAAGGGGGTGGAGGAAAGTACAGAGAAAGAAAAGAGTGAGGGGATAACAGAGAAAGCACTCTGAAGGAAAGGGACCCCGACCGTAGATAGTTAAGTGTTTATCTTCGGGGGAAGAGACCTTGTATCAGTTTTGCAAATTCACAAATAATAGCAGGAAATGCCACGGCCAGGTTAAAAGCTGGATCCCACCGGTCAATGATCATGGCCCTCAAAACCCTGTCATTTTTTTTTTGGACCAGGGTGACAGTCACTGAAAATGCCTTTTAGCTGCAGAGTTTAACTAGAATATATTAAATGTAAATTTATCACACATCAGGCCAGTGTTTCTATGCAGTTCTCAAAATGGGATTGGCTTAGACTTGAGGTTTTGTCCCGCAGGGGCGGGAACTCCCACAGATGCTTTCAATGAGAATCACTGGGCAAAAACCCTTGGACTATACCTATCCTCCCTTCCTCCCCATTCCGGAATGTATGCCTCAGTCTCCAACCCATCACCTCATGCCCCTTTGCAAACAGTGACCAGCACGCAGGAAACTGTCTATTCATCTCAGAGGAAAGATAGATCAGTTTTCCTTTGGGTCATCTGCCATAGTTCTACCCATACTCCTCTCCAGTCTTCCCCTACTCCCCCCAGAAAATACACCATTAGAGCCTACCACAGTGACAGAGCTAAGAGACAGGCCAGCCTCCTCATATCCTGCATGGTTGGAAGAGAGGACCAGAAAAATCCACCCAAAGCTGACGTTCACTCCTACCTAGTTCAGTGATGATGGGGATGTTGACACCAGTCGTGATGGAGGGCTGGCGTAACATTCCATGTACCGGGCTGTTATCTGGGGAGGATCGGTCCATTCCTGGAGGTGTGAACCCTAGTGGGAAGAAAAGAGAGGAAAGGAAAAAATAAAAAATGTGCAGAACTTAGAAATAGTGAGAGTACAGTGTATATACACAGTAAAAAAAAAAAAAAGTATTATTTATAGGTCAAAAATTAACACTCCAAGAATAAACTCTGATGAGTTGTTTTCAAAAGAACAAAGTATGAGACCATTATAAATAATTCTAACCCACATTGACAGATCCCTAAAAACCAGTCTCTACACCTGTTATTGATCTTGCTCACAGATTTCTGTTCCCTCCACACAGATTGCACCTCTGTGCTTCTGAGAAGTTAGACATGACCATGTGACACAGGAAATGCTCTGGCCCATGAAAAACAAGCAGAACAATGCATATCATCACTTCTGGTACAAGTATTTGACTTGCCATCCTTCTCCCCAGGCTGTGGCAACAGTGAGAATTGTGGGTTACCATGGAGATGAAGGCTGGGCAGCAACCCTGGAAAATAACGCAGACACACAAAGCATTCTGAGTGAAAAATCAATCTGTTGCTTTAAGCCACCGAGATTTGTTTTGTTGATGTTTGTGCCGTGGTTGTTACCACAGCATATCTTAACCTATCCTGACTGTTATCTTAAACCAATTGATTACTTCTTCTCTTGCCAGTAAGTGACTTAAACCTGGGTCCTGGCCAAGAGAAAGTGGGAGGAAATCTGCCTGGGGCCTTTAGGAAGTCTTTCCTTGCCCTTAAAAAGAATCACATGAGAAGAGATTCTCTTTTATCCACTGGGCATTGCTTCTGCGCCTGTAGTGAGGGGAACTGTAGCAGCCACCTTGTAACTTGGGTGGGAACTAGCCAAGGACAAGCCAGCTTAATGAGCTGGCTGAAGTCAGTGATAAAAAGTTTAAAGGACAGGAATAATTTTCCTTAGTGCCTGAATTAACCAGCCCTAGAACCAAAACCAACTGATCTCAGGATTTCTTTACTACATGAGATTTTATACACTTATAAATGAGATTATAATATAAAATGAACAATATATATAAAGAGATTTCATATATATTATATACATAATAATGAGATTGCTGTTGTTGTTCAGTTGCTAAGTCATGTCTGACTGTTTGTGACCCCATGGACTGCAGCACACCAGGCTTCCCTGTCCTCCACTGTTTTCTGGAATTTGCTCAAAATTCATGTCCATTGAGTCAGTGATGCTATCTAACCATTTCATCCTCTGCTGCCCCCTTCTCCTTTTGCCTTCAATCTTTCCCAGCGTCAGGGTCTTTTCCAATGAGTCAACTCTTCACATCAGGTGGCCTAAGTACTGGAGCTTCAGCTTCAGCATCAATCCTGCCAAAGAATATTCAGGGATGATTTCCTTTAGGGTTGACTGGTTTGATCTCTAGTTGTCCAACAGACTCTCAAGAGTCTTCTTCAGCACTACAATTTGAAAGCATCAATTGTTTGGCACTCAGCCTTCTATATGCTCCAACATCTATACATGACTACTGAAAAAACTATAGCTTTGATTATACAGACCTTTGTCAGAAAAGTGATGTCTCTGTTTTTAATATGCTGTATAGGTTTGTCATAGCTTTCCTTCCAAGGAGCAAGTGTTTTTTAATCTCATGGCTACAGTCATCGTCCACAGTGATTTTGGATCCCAAGAAAATAAACTCTGTCACTGCTTCCACTTTTTCCTCTTCTATTTGCCATGAAGTAATGGGGCCAGATGCTGTGATCTCAGTTTTTTAAAATGTTAAGTTAAACAATGATATTTTATGTGTGTATAGTTATGTACTTTGTATTATGTATTAAATATTTACGTATCTACACACTTACACAGCTTCCTAGGTGGCACAAATGGTAAAGAATTCCCCTGCCAATGCAAGAGCTACAGGTTTGATTCCTGGTCAGGATGACCCCCTAGAGGAGGAAATGGCAACCTACTCCAGGATTCTTCCTGGGAGAATCCCATGGACAGAGGAGAACTGGCAGGGTATACAGTTCACAGGGTTGCAGAGAGTCAGACATGACTGAGCATCTGAGCACACATACACAATATATGTGTATATATATATATTTCCCCCTTTTGTTTAAGCCATACTGAAGACTTTACTTGCAATTGAAATAGTCTTGATTGATGCATATGCTACCTATTTAGAGTGGACCCTTGAACTTCCCAGTGTACCTGACACAGACTTCACATGGTAGAACGTAGATGTGGGCACAGTAAACAGGAGAGTGGCCTACTTGGTTTCTGATTTTTGCAGTTTTGGCTTCTTTGGGTTTCAGACTGAAATCTCAATACATATTAGATTGAGTTTGGCCCAACCATATCTTCAATTTAGGGAAGGTGGGAAACCATCCCAGCTAGGCCAAATGACTGCCTCTTTAAGGATGTACGTAACCATACAGACAGACATTTATTTTCTTCATACACTCATTTGGTGAAAATTAATTTTACCAAGTGAAGCATGTAGTAAGTGGCACCCCCAGCACTATGCCGGCCACCATACCCAACTTCCTCCTCCACCTTATAGAACAGGCAGACAGAAGTTCACATTCACTTTATCTTCTCTGCCCTTGGTGGATGGCTACCTCAGCTTATCAATGGATTAGGGAATTACAAAGTCACTTGCTAATTTTCCAAGAACAAAATTTCAAAGATGATGTGACCCGGTTCCTTACTTACTCAGGAATGTGACAAGACTGGGTTGATTTTGGCATTAAGGTATGTGTAAACCTTCATCTACCAGAAATGAAATGACAAGTGCATGTAATTGCCTGTTGTTTTGGAAGTGCATCCTGCATGAGATGCCAGAAAAATATAAGAGTTTTACTATTTTCTGCTCTCCTGTTTATAAATATCATCCAACTGAGTGCCAAACTTTCAGAAAGAAAAAAAAAGTTCCATTTACCATTCACTCCCTGATTGCACTTAATTTTATTCTTTATATTGATACACTGTGCACAGGTAAGTAATTTGAATGACAATATAGGGTCCGTCTTTCTAAGCTTTGGAAAGTGTGTGTTTTCAGTCATCCACATAACCAAGAACATGCAATTGAAATGCTACCTGTTTTCTTCCCCTAGAATAGTGAAGGGGAAAACGAAACTGTTCTCATCAGAAGTTTCATTCAAAAGCATGAAAAACTGCAAGTGACAGCTGTGCAGATTCAGTGGATGTGACGTTTTTGAATTTCTTCAACTTGACAAGTAAATACCTTAAATCGGTAATGCTATATGCATAATACATGGTCTGTATTTTGACATCCATCATCAAATGCTGACTTGAGAAAATACGGGTTTGTACATCAAGGAATAGCACCCATAAAACAGGGAGAAATGCAGGTCACACGGTATTAGGAAAACTGTATTTCATTACAGAACCTGCAACAAACCAAAGCATCCTTTTATTTTATCTTATTTAAAGATTCCATTTTCAGCTGTGAAAAGACTCAATTCCTTTGCATGAAACCTTCATTTAGAAATGACATGCTTGCCTCTTAGGCTTCTTTCATTTTGCTTTCATATTCCATTTTCCCCTTCAGTCACCAAGCCTGGTTCCATTAGCATCTGCAACTGACAAACTATGGTGGATGTCCAAAGACATCTCTCCATTAAAGGTCTTTTTCTCTCCTACATGTGACCCCAAGAACGAGGTGCTTTTGTTGGAAAGAAAACTTCAACAATGATAATGTCACTTATTATTTGATACTTTTATAGCCACAGGTTTTTACAAGCAAAAGGCAAAGACAAAAAAAATAGATTTAATTCAATTTTTTAACCCTTCCTGGAGAGTTGTGTTGAAGAGGAACAGAATGTATCAGCATTGTTTCTTTCTTAGAGATTCTAATACAGGAAAATTGTGGCTTGATGGCAGGATTGACCCAGATTCCTGAAGTGACCTTGAAGAGAATAGAAAATCAGGCACTTTCCTTCCAAAGGGATGAGTGAATTTGGCCTTTGGTATCATTTGTTGGCAGCTACCCTACTCATCATAGCAGCTGTTGATAAAGGTGCAAGTCTAAATTGTATCCAGTTCTCTGATTGTCTTGCTCCTCATTCCCTTGCTTGCTGCAGTGGATAACGTCTTTGGTTGAACTTTAAGGCCCTCTACATCAAGCAGTGCTCTGGTCCTACGTGTGTAAGTCCTTGCACAGGGACCCTGATCTACAACTAAAGGATAGTGAAACTGGGAAATGTTCCTTCCATTCGTTGAACTAACACTCAGGAAGTTAATTTTAGAAACACACTCATTTTGCCAGAAGAGATGATGAGGAACGTTGGCACTGGATAGATAGAATGAAAAGTTCTCAATCAGGAAAAGATTCAAGTTAAGTAACCACAGCCATAGCCCAAGTTCTTACCAAGACGGCCTCCTGGATCTTTAGATGTGTTCCCACTTCTCTCTGTTAAGTGTGGACATAAGAGGCAGGTTCTGGGCCAAAGATAACTGTAAAGACTACCTGATCTCCTTACATTCAAAGATCTGCCCCGTTTCAAGCTTCAGGGGCAGATATGACGGGTGTACATTACTTGTTCTATTCCTTTGACATCAAGTAGAAATGGGCCCAACTTTGCCCTCTGCCAAGTATGCTTACTCCATATGCTGTAGCAGAACTTGAAGTTGAAGCCTGAATTTTCTATATATTTAAGCATCTCAAATTGCCTAGCCCACAGAGAAGGAATGGAGTGCAATAGTTAAGAGCATGTGCATTGGAGTCAGATGTCTTAGGTTTAAATTCTGGCTCACCTACTGATAAGAAATATAACCACAAATATAGCACAGACTCTCCAAACCTCTGTATCTTTGTCTAAATTGGAATTACAGGGCAGTTGTGAGAATAAGATGAAATAGTATGTTCAAAGCATCTAGTACAATGTCTGGTATGAAGCAAAAACTTGAAAATGTTGACTACCAATGTTAATATTTTACCAAGTACTCAGTAAGTATCTGTGGCAAGGAACAGCTTTCATTGCTTCCCCCTTCCCTATGGATAAAGAACTGAGGTAGCTTTTGGTAGA